CTACTACTCCTAACCCTAACCCTACCTACCTCTCTCTCTCTCTCTCTCTCTCTCTCTCTCTCTCTCCTTGACCCCTCGTCTCAATTAAACCCTACAAACTGATCATCTCTGCACTTACTCAACCCTTGCCCCTCTCTCTCTCTCTCCCTCCAATCCTCCAAACCCCAAACCCATCATCAGGAGTTTCCCACCCTTCCAGTCCTTACCTTCGATGGCGAAAACACAAGCAGAACCCTAACCCTAAACCTCAAATCCGCCCCCCTAAACAGGGAGGGCAGTTGCTCACAGGGGCATCGTCACTGATCAGCAGAGCTAGAGGAGAAGGACGGCTTCAGCCCTAACTAGAGGCGAAGTTGAGAGGAGGGGGCAAGAAGCCCCACCCCCAAAAGAAAACGCGCCGACCTCGAAGGGGTTCTCAGTGAACTCCATTGAGGTGTGGAGGAGGTGTTATCTTTGGCCCTAAACCTAAGGACTGGTCCATTAAAATCAACAGGAAGGAGAAGAGGCTCGCGATTTCGATTACGACCTCATCGGACAGAGGGTAACCTTGTCCAAAAAAAATAAAAAAAATTGGGATTCCATCTTTCTGGATAATAACAGGCCAATTTTGATCCATTTTGTTATAACAAAGCTTAACAATGTCCGTACGTAAATTTTCCAAAAAAAAAATGCACCACCCTCCAAAATTCCATGATATAGATGGATTTAGAATTTAAAACACATTTCAAGTTGATGCATTTTTGTTTTGGCTGCGTGATTTTGTATCTTAGATAATAGTGCAGATATGATGATTTGTGAAGATTTGAGATAAACAGTGATGAACAGTCTACAAAAAAAAATTTAAGAGAAGGAGAATTGTTTCATACAAGCTGGATCGCATTTTTACACATCGGTCTAGAGGTATAAAGCATCCGTTTTAAAGATGGACATAAATAGGTGCTCCATCGAAAAACTATTGAAACTAATGTTTTTTTAATAGAATTATTATTTTTAACTTTCAAAAATTTATTTTTCTCTTTGTTAATATAATTTTTTCTTAATAAAATTATTATCTCCATGTTAGATATTACATGTTCTTAAAAATTAAGTCAAAAAATCCATCTCAAAAATAGATTTTTAAGAGGTGCCCCATTTCTATATGGACTCATAGAAACCGGGTTCTTAAGATAATCTACTTTCAAAATGCAAAATAATTCACTTATAATTTATAAATTGTGATGTCAAGATTGTTGATGAGAAAAATTTTAAGCCTAACATCTTTCTCACGTATGAATTCGTGAAGGAGACAGCATTTTTCTAGGTGCTTTCGGTGCAGCAGCATTCCCTAACGTGTCCTATTATGTTTTTTTACATAATGATATACTATGAGACTATTCATCTTGGGTACATGGTGGTCACAAATAATTTTGACCATGGATTTTAAATTGGATGACTGATGTATTTATTCTATTGACCAAGTTCAAAGTTCAAAAAAAGTATTTTTGAATTTTGTGACACTCAAGCTAGCAGATTTCACATCGGACGGTTATAAATAATTATGACCTTTTTATGTCAAAGATAAATAGTCTCATTAACAGATATATTACCACTTGAAAATTATGTATTCGAAAGAAAAAAGGATTTTAATCCCTATAATTTTATATTTTGCAAGAGTTTATTTAGGTCCCTTATTTTTTTTTTTATAGATATGCCAAATCTGTATTAGTTTTAGAGGTTTAAATTTCATGATTAAATGTAAAAATTGGTTTCCGTGCAGCCCGACTTTTTTCTTAAACGGCCACCTTCCATAAACCAAATCCATAAATAAATTGTCAGTCCAAAATAGGGCATTGAATGATAAATACATTATTAGTTTGCTTGTTGGATATTTAAGAACCCAAAAAATTTCATACTCCTGAGGAGGCACACTATACATTCATGGGGCGAAACCCAATCTAGGAGTATTTTTAGGATCCCATATTTTGGAGTGTAACCTCTTCAATCCATAACCTATATTCAATCAAAACAAAATTTCCAAATTCCATTCTCAATGGGATTCAAAAAAATACCACCTTTGGATTGAACATAAATTGCCCAATTTTTTAAAGGTGGGATCTAAGTATAGAAAGCTCAAAATTTTAATTTTGTTTTCTTTTTTTGAATATAATCATATACTAAGTTTTAAGTGGTTTTCAAAATTTCAGATTAAAAAAAAATCTTCCCAAGTTAGTCTTCCGCCCAATGGAATCAGCATACACAATCTGCCCCCACAGGAGCATAGCGTGCAACCTCATTCAAGTATACAGAGAAGTTCCAGAATTCATACTAATGATCAAAGTCTTTATTGACCAAAGACTTTTTGCCAAAGCATTAGTCATCTTCTATTTACTTCAACGTTTGTAACACGTAATTGCACATGGTACATAAAAGAAGGAAAAGATTAGTGTAGGGCGGCCGCTCACGCTGGAAATTGCTGTTTTAGACTTCTTGTACTAGAAAACCATCAAGTTCTTTGTCTCTATCTCGATCTTGATGAGCATAGTTTGAAAATAAATTGTATTTAATATCTTTAAATTAGTTATTTTTAACATATTATTTGGATTATTTGTTTTCAAGCGTTCGCATATTCCTTAAATCGCAGCATTTTTTAAAGGGAAAAGTTTATATACAGTCGAGGCTCTAAACAATCAAATTCGAGCCTACCTCAAAAATTTCACTAGAATAGGTTGTTTTGATGCCCAAATATCTTCAAATTCATCATTTCTACATCAAGATGCATGGACATGTGAAAAAAATGGATTTTAAGGTTTGTAAATAGTATATTTTGTAACGCACTTTTGGACCATCAATTTTCAAGATTTTCAAGTTTTCATAGATCTCTCTATCTACACTATTTTTGAAGCTTTAAACTTTATCATTTTAAGGCTATCAAAGAGATTACCAATAATGAAACTACATTTCTTGACACTATTTGAAGGTAGGCTCTAATTTGATTGTTTAGAGCCTAGGTTCGATAGAAACCACACCTTTTTTAAAATTTCAAATTTTAAAAAAAAAAAAAAATTTGACAGATTAATGGTAGGAATTAAGAGAGGGACATTATGTTGAGGCATCCACCCCCTTATCAGCCTGTGCCCTATCTCCATTCCAAAACTATGATAAGTGTTTTCAAGAGTGAAACTACATTTATTTTTAGTGGGGTGCAATTTGTATAGAGTCACGGCTCTAAACAATCAAAGTAAAACGTACTTTCAAATGGTGTCGAGAAATGTAGTTTTAATATTGAAAATTTTTGTGATAGCCTTAAAATATATTTTTATCTCTACTTAAAAAATTTAAAGCTTTAGAAATAGTGTACAAATAGTGTCGAGAAATGTAGTTTTAATATTTAAAATCTTTATGATAGCCTTAAAATATATTTTCATCTCTACTTATAAAATTTAAAGTTTTAAAAATAGTGTCGATTGAGCAGATCTATGAAAATTTGGAATTTTTGAAAATTGACGGCCCAAAAATGTGTTACAAGATGCGATATTTTCAAAACTTGAAATCTATTTTTTTTCATGTCCATGCATATTGATGTAAAGATGATCAATTTGAAAATATTTGGGCATCAAAACAACCTCTTCTAGTGAAATTTTTGAGGTACATCCTACTTTGATTGTTTAGAGCCTTGGCTCTATATAAACTTTTTCTGCCGCTTAAACTTCGGCGTACCCTAACCGTAACCACAAAAGACAAGGCGCACATAAAATCTCCACTTTTTCAACACATAAAATAAGTGGCTATTTATCTTTGGTACAATGTGGTCATAATTAATCTTGACCATTGGATGTGAAATTGGAGCACTGCATTTATTCTATTGACTAATTTCGAAGTTCAAAAAATAATTTTTTGAACTTTGTGAAACATCTAAGCAGTCAGATTTCACAATGGATGGTTATAAATAATTTTGATCTCCTTGTACTAAAGTCCTCATAGTATACCATCACATAAAATAAAAAGCGTAAGCGTGAGTTGAGGAATGGTAACTCAACAAAGATAACCTATTATGCCTTGTAAGATTATCCCCGGCGTGGTTTATTTCGAGTCATTTAGAGGGTATTTGATGAAATAAAAAGTTTATATAAGGTTGAGGCCCTAAGCAATCAAATTAAAGCGCCTATCAAAAATTTAATACAAGAGGCTGTTTGGAAGTCAGAAAACCTTCAAATCAATCATCTTAACATCGAGATTTATAGGCATGTAAGAAAAATGGATTTCAAGTCCGGAAAATAGTGCATCTTGTAATGCATTACTTGGGCCATCTATTTTCAATATTTTAAGTGTTTATAAATATGCTTAATCGACAGTATTTTTGAAACTTTAAATTTTTATAAGTAGATATGAGAATAAATTTTCAAGGTATCCCAAATATTTTTGCTATTGAAAAATTATCTTTCAACACTATTTAAATTTTTGAAACTTTAAATTTTATAAGTAGATATGACAATAAATTTAGTGTCTCAACCTTATATAAACCACACCCTTTAATAAATTGAAAAAAAAATATCAAAATACACCCAAAAAATGAAGTAGATAGTATTATAGTAATATCATTTGATTGAATTTCAAAATCCGTCAAAAATATACATGATCATAGGAATACTTGAAATTTCATAAAACATTAAAAGTAGATAAATTAGAGATAAATTTCTTCATAAATTCCAGCACGAACTCCTTCATTGAGCATAACACTTGGAAAAGTCCACGCTTTATTTATTATTATTAGATAAGATCCATATAACAAACATTCCACAGGCAACACCATCCGCTTGCCTTGAGAGTGCTGCATATGATTATGGCCAAAATACCCATTATTATTTTGCATATATCCAGAATGCACCTCTTCATATTGCTAGGTATCAAGAACAGAGTCCAAGCCTCCAAATCCCACCAAGAGTCGCATCAGTTTCAAACTCTGTGGAACAACAAAAACCATAGATAATGAGTAACAATAATTTAAAGGGTGCGGTTGGTATAGAGCTCAGGCTCGAAACAATCAAATTGGAGCCTACTTTCAAATAGTATCGAGAAATGTGATTTCAATACTGAAAATATTTTTGATAGCTTTAAAATATATTTTTATCTTTATTTACTAAGTTTAAAGCTTCAAAAAGAGTATAAATCGAGAAATCTATGAAAACTTGAAAATCTTTAAAATTGACAGTCCAAAAATGTGTTACAAAATAATGATTTCCAAACTCATTTTTTTCTCATGTCCATGCACCTTGATGTCGAGATGATCACTTTGAGGATATTTGAGCATCAAAGCAACATCTTCAGTGAAATTTTCGATGTAGGCTCGAATTTGATTATTTAGAGCCTCGGCTCTATATAAACTTTTTCCTAATTTAAATAAGATATTTTTTTTTGGGTTGTCTTCTCAATGCAATACATACCTTTTTTATAGGGACCCGGTTTCTATGCGGCAAAGCCCGTGTATGTAGAAATGCCAGCCTCTTAATAAATCTATTTTGGAGATAGATTTTACGACTTAAGTTTTAAGGATATATAATCTCTTACATGGAGATCATGAAAATGAAAAAATAAATAAATTTTAAAAATTAAAATAATAATTCTAGTAAGAAAACATTTGGGCTGTTATTTTCCATTGTTTTTATATGGCATACCCACTTGCATCCATCTTTAAGATGGATGCTTTACACTTTATGGACCGCATATGTAGAAACGCGGTCCAACTTGCATGAAACAAAGTTTTTTTTTCTAGAATTTAGATCATCAATTAAGGTTGATTGTCAAAAAAAAATTAATGGAACCTATTATCATCATCATCATCATCATCAATATTATTATTATTATGATTATTATTTACTATTACTTTCATGCTGGGATCATCCCAAAAATAAGGCCCAAGGGCCAGGCTCGAGCCAACCCTACATATTTATATTGGGAAAAAGTTTATATAAGGTTGCAACCTTAAAATATAGAATTATAGATGCACCTAAAAAATCCATCGGAGAATGTTGTTTTAATGTTGAAAAATTCTCTAACAAATCATCTCAACATCGAGATGTATAAATATGGAAAAAAAAAAACAGATTCTGAGTCCCAAAAATAGTATATCTTGTAACACATTATCTAGACCGTCCATTTTCAAGATTTCCATATGTTTATAGATCTACTTGATTTTAACCATTTTTGGAGTTTAAAATTTTATAATTAGGTATTAAAATAGATTTTTAAATAAGCCTAATTATTTTTTACATCTAAATTGCATGTTGTAATAAAATTTAAAGGTGTGTCTTAATTGAATTGTTTAAGATTGCAACCTTATAGAAACCACACTGTTTATATTGTGGGTGTGATTTGCATACGGCTTTGGACTTAAATAATCAAAGGCCCACCTTAAAATAATGCCCAAAGATGCGGTTTCAGTGTCAAAAAGCTAAAAAGCTTTACAATGGCCTCAACGTCTATATTCTCTCATAAATATGAAATTTAAAGCTATAAACTTGATGTAGATCAAAAAGATCTACTAACACTTAAAAATCTAAAAACTAGACAATCCGGATATTATGTTACAAGATGTATTAATTTTATTACTTGAAACCCATTTTTTTTAATATTTATACATCTTGAGGTCAAATAGTGAGTTTTGTAAAATTGGACTAACCTTTTTTAGGGTGTTTTTCTAATGCAACTTACTTCTACAATACAAGGTTGGTGCCCTATATAAACACTTTTCTTGCATTATATATCTATATATAGTATCACGTATACCAGTATATATAGGTCATCAACCTCGAACAATCAAAAATCTTCTTTTAGAACATAATCTATATATATAGGGAAAAGTTTATATAAGGTTGCAACCTTAAAATGTAGAATTACATATGCACCTCAAAAATCTATCGGAAATGTTGTTTTAATGTTGAAAAAACCTTCTAATTGATCATCTCGACATTGAGATGGATGAATATGAAAAAAAAATGTTTTTGAGTCCCAGAAATATTGCATCTTGCAACACATTATCTAGACCGTCCATTTTTAATATTTTTATATATTTATAGATCTACTTGATTTTAACCATTTTTTAAACTTAAAATTTTCTAATTAGGTATGAAAATAGATTTTAACCGTATATATGGGTTTGTCTAGAGTTAACAACCCGTCAAAATACAAAGGTTCAAGTTAGAAAGGGTTCGATAGGTATACTTATCAAAATAATGATTACTTTTTTATTAAAAATTATTTAAATAGGTAACATTAAACAAAGGCAAATTTGAAACTTTCACAAAAATATAATGTCATTTTGGAAGTTATTGTCCTGAAACTTTATTTGTAGAGCGCCATTGTAGTTTAATTAAAATTTCAATTTTACCTATTATGGAGATAACAAAATTACCTTTTGTCATGTAGTAATATTTACAAAATTGCCCCACAAAAGTAACTTTTTTAAAAAATAGATTATAAAATTAATAAATTCATCATTCACAACTCTCTTTATTTTGAATGTTTGTAATTTGAAGGGTTGTGAAGTTTAGATTATCCCTCTCTATATATATATATATATATAAGATAAATATATTTTTATCTCTTATTTTTAACTTTCATATCTCATGAGATCCAATGATTAAAATTATTACTTGTAAGCAAAATGTCTTCATTTTTTCTATCTTACAACCCCTTGACCCTTTTGACCATAAATTTTTTACCTAAACAAATACTAAAATGACACCCTATTCAAACTACATCTATCTCTCTCTAAAACTCCATCTCTCTTTCT